CCTCAGTCTCCTAAGTGCTGGAACTGTAAGTGTGTACCACCATGCTTTGCTCCAAAATTTAAAGATGTACTTCCCTTTTGATCAGTTATGTCTAAATCATCTCTTTTCTGTAGAACACTTTACTATAAATAAGCCAAAGGAACCAGCCTGCCTTTCCAACATTTTGCTTAGAAATAGCTTCAGATGCTGGGTGTAGTGGCTCAAGCCTTTTATCACAGCTACTTGTTAGGAAGAGAGTTGGAGGACCATGGCTTATCCCCAGGCAAAAAGTTAGCCGACACCATCAAGCCAGGTATAGTGGTGCACACCTGTGATCCCGACTGTGTGCAAGCCCTACATAGGAGGGGTACAGTCTGATTCCACATGAAAAATAACTAAAGCCAAAAGGAGGGATGGTGGAGGACTGGGGGTGTGGTTAAAGTGGTAGAGCACCTGCCTAGCAAGAGTGAGACCCTGTATTCAAACCTCAGATTAAAACAAAAAAAAAGCTTCAGCTAAATATTCAATTTCACCTTCCCTAAAACACTAGGACATAAACCCAACTCAGTCAAGTTCTTTGCCAGTTCATAAGATGGCCTTTCCTCAAGCTTCTAATAGAATATTCCTCATTTCCAACTGTGAATTCACTACTCTGATGGATCTTAGCATTATGGCTTTTTTTTTTTTTTGGACATTCACTTCTTTCCTAATTAGAATGGAATGATGACTTCTCAGCTCCTTCTGTATCAGACCAGAATTCCTAGTGGAATATTTCTGATTACTGATTCAATTCTTTTGAATTGAATTCTTTTTACTGATTCATAGGTCTACTACTTATTTCTCGGACAGACTAGCTAAAGGTTTGTCTATTTACTTATTTACTTACTTATTTGGTAGTATTAGGGCTTGAACTCAGGGCCTTGTGCTTGCTAGGCAAGTGTGCTACCACTTGACACATCCTCCAGACCTTACCGCTTTGGTCTGTGCCACCATGCCCAGTTTTTTTTATTGGTTGAGATGGGGGGAGGGTCTCAAAAACTTTCTGCTGGGGTTGGCCTTGAACCAAGATCCTCCCAATCTCTGCCTCTAGAGTAGCTAGGGTTACGGGCATGAGCCACTCATTGGTGCCCCACCCCAATTTATCTTTTCAAGGAAGGAAACAATTCTTGGGTTGTGGACTTTTCTCTTCTGATTTTCATTTTACCCCTACTCTAATCCTTACTCATTCCTTCTCACTATTTATTTTGGATTTAAGTGATCCATTAGTTTTGGTGTGCAACTGCCCACTGTACTCTTAATATCCTCTGTGTTTCCAATATCCTTGAAATTTTGAAAAATCCATAATGTCTCCATTTTCACCTTTAATACTTTGAGTTCACTCTTTCTCTGTTACCATATTAGTTATTTTTGCATCACTGTGACCACATTACCTGACAGATACAACTTAAAGGAAGAAAGATTTATCTTGGCTCATGGTTTCAGAGGTCAGCCCATCATGGCAGGAAGGGTGTGGTAGAGCAGAACAGTTCTTGGTGGGCAAGAAGCAAAGATCAGCAACAAGAAGGGGCCAGGGCAACATAGAGCTCAGAAGGACACGACCCCAACAACCTACTTATTTCCAGCAGGCCCTGTCTTCCACAGTTCTACCACCTCCCTAGTCTACTCATATTTTGAACCATCAAAGTGTTCAACTGGCCCTTATGATCTAATGTCTCTGAAATGCCCTCACAGACACACCCAGTGCTCTTTTCTTAATCCAGTCAACTTGACAATCAAAATTAACTATCGGTTACCTAAAGGTTTGCCATTTTTGCTCATCTTAAAACAAAACAAAAATCTTTGGATTTTGTTGACTTTTGCCACATACACCCCCACACTCCCTATTTCACTTATTTCCATTGCAATCTTTACTTTCCTACTCCTTACTTTGTTGGTTTGTTCCTTTTTCTAGTCTCTGAAGGTGGGATGTTATTGATTTCTGGAAGTGTATTGCTTCATTGCTACATATTCATGAGTTTTCCGGACTTCATTGATATTTCTAATTTTATTCCATTGTCATTGGAGAACATAATTTCTGCTATTCCAATCTTGCTAAATTTATTGAGACTTACTTTGTGGCCTTAACAATTTCTATCCTTAATGTTACACATACATTTAATAAGAATGTGTATTCTGCTGTTATTGCTGGGGTGCTCTACAGATATGTTAGATTTAGTTGGTTTATAGTCCTGTTCAGGTATTCTATTTCTTTTCTGATCTGTCTTGTTCTATCCCGTATGAAAGTGGGGTATTCAAATGTGTTGAATTACTTATTGTTGAATTACTTTGCCCTTAAATTCTGGCAGTTTTTCTTCATGTATTTTGGGGTTCTTTTGCTTGGTGTATATTATGTTTACAGTTGTTATATCTTCTTGGCAAATGGATTTTAATCATTATATAATTGTCCTCTGATTTCTCATAAAATTATCTTCAAGTCTATTTGGTCTGGTACTAATAAAAGTAACCCTGCTGTCTTTTGTTACTGATTTCATGAATGTTTTTTCCCATACTTTTAACTTGTTTGTGTCTTTGAATATAAAGGGAATTACCTCCAAACACACAGTTGAGTCATGATACGCTAAATGCAGTTTGGCAGGTAAATCTATGAACTTCCAGGTCTCTAAGGAATGCTTCATTTATTTGTACAGAAATAGGCGAAAGGGACCTGCACATACAGAGTCAGGGAATTATCCCTGGGAGAAGGAACGTGTGCTCAACCAGCAAAACCCCTTGTTCCTTCCTATTATTGCTTATACTCTCTCTACAACAAAATTAGAGATAAGGGCAAAATAGTTTCTGCTGGGTATTGAGGGGGGGAGCGGGAGGGGGTGGAGTGGGTGGTAAGGGAGGGGGTGGGGGCAGGGGGGAGAAATAAACCAAGCCTTGTATGCACATATGAATAATAAAAGAAAAATGAAAAAAAAAATAAATAAAGTAGTGGCACACCTTGAAAAAAAAAAAAAAAGAAGGAACGTGTGCAAGAGCACCAGGACTTCATCACTTGCTTCTTGTCTGGGTGTTGTCAGCATACACTTTTGTTTGCAGTCTCGATACTTCCCCAAAACCTTAAGGAAAACAATTCCCCCCTTTTTGAGAGTGAAATGAATAAAAGAGATCTTGGAGGTAGGGAGTGGAATACTTAATTCCTCTTGTTTCTCTTCACAGTAGGCCCAAGGAGGGAGGAGGACTTCATGGTGTGGCACTGCTTCTCCCTGCTTTCTAGGAAGGGAGCCCTCTTCACCCAGGGACTGGGTTCAAGGATGAACAAAGTGAACTCACATACAAGAAACTTCAACAAGTCATAACACACAGCCCTTTCCAGTTCCCCTGTTTGGATGTGGCTAGAAGGTCAGTGCACAGAGGCAGACCTGACATGGGACATCTATTGTAGGAGGCTCTGTGGGCAGAAAGCAATTCAGTCCCTCACCAGAGTTGGGAGACAAATCCCTGTAAATGTATGTGATGAAGTCAACACACCCCAAGAACTTCCAGGGGGCGGGGGTGGGTCAGGGAGCTTTACAGCTGCCAGTTACTCAGATGTGTTCACTGTGTGCAAATCTGGCCTGTACGTTAGGATGTGTGTACTTCTCTGGATGCCTTCATAAAAGTTGACTTAAAATTACACACCAATTCTCTCCTCCCCTCCCCAACCCCAAAGACAGAGGTCCAGCTCTGTGGCCTGGAGTCAAAGGTCTCAGTGATGGTAATGTCAGTCAGAACCAAATTACCAAAATCATCCAGTGAGCACCTGCTGCATGCTGGAAACCAAGGACATGATGAAGCTTCAAATAATTCTGAGAGAACTACTGCCTCCAACTTACAGATGGGGAAATTGAGGCTCATAGACACTAAGTCAATCAAGAAAAACCAGATTCCTAGCAATGGCTACTCAACACATAGTGTAGCTACCAGCCTGTGCTGTTGTTTTCAGTCCTAGTAACCTGAGGGCATGGAGATGACACCCTCTCAGAAGAGAAGGTCAAGTAGGTTTTTTAGCATGGGCTGCAGCCTCCTGCAGGGCTCCAGGACCCCACTCACTAAGGCTGTCACTCCACCCCTAGACTTAGAGCATGTGGTGTTTAAGGACACAGAATACAAGGGCACAGGCTCAGCATTTGGATGCCTGTGTGACTCAAACACACCCAGAACAGAAGTGAGCCAGGCCACAGCGAGCAGAACACACAGGCAGAGCAGAGGGTACAGGCAGAATCTCCTAGAAAGGGGACTGCTTCATGGGGCTCCGCTGCCTCATGTCTCCCTCCTCTCCAGGGGCCTCTCTCCAGATCAGCAGATGACTCTGTCCAACCTTTTCCAAGGGCCTGCTGAGACAGAAGGAATGGCTTAAACTCAAATAGGTCATGGCAGCTGCTGCTCTTAGAGGGATGGGACTGTCAGAGGGAGGAGGCTCCAAAGGGGCAGCGAGACCACCAGCAGAGGGTCCTGGAGCGAGACTGGGGCCCAAGCTGGTCCTCCAAAAAGAGGCCCCGGATAGGTGAGGCTGCCATAGGAGGAGGGGTCCTTGAGTGTATTCTGGTACCTACTATCCCTGTGGCAAGGACACCGTCCTCTTCTTCACACCCATGCAGTCATGCCAATGTACCCAATGAAATATGGCTTAGCTGACAAATAGGTAGCCTGCTGCCTGAATCTATTTGCTCCCGGGTGAGAGGACAAGACCTCAGGACAGTACAGGTTCCACATTAAACACACTGCCACTTCAGGACAATGTGTCAGGACAGTGCAGGCTGCTTGTGGATTTACTCTCTGAACAGTGTGTTCTGACCACCTTGCTGCAGCACATTCATACCCAATGCCCTGTGAGACCGTGGGGGTACACCTCACACCCTGAGGATGGACTCCAGGTTGCTCGCAGCTCCCAGGCCCAGGGTCACCTAGGTTGGCTTTAAGATGCTGGACTTACCACATTTTTGGAACCACAGTCGTCTGGAGCAGGGGTCAAATCAATCACAAAGAGCAAGCTGTGTGCTTCATCTTTTTATTATTCTTTATTTATTGGCCCTACCAACATGACTCTTTACCCAGGCCCACTGTTCCTATGCGCATTGGCGTTGCAGACATTCATACCACATCTGTGTCCCGAGAGTCTCCGTTAATTTCTCCCTCCACCTCTGCCTCGTTTTCTCAGAAACTGTAGGCTTTCACTTATTATTATTTGTTTTGTTTGGGTCTGTGTAAAGGTTCTGTGGTAGGAGAACATGCATATGACTTTAAAATAAAGACCAACGTTCTGACACTAAGATAATGCACAGAAAAAAAATACAGTACTAGACATCATTGCAAATAAATACCCCATATGGATGACGTTAGCTCAAATGAAACAATATTTCTTATGAGTCAACACTGTAACAGAAGGTAAAAATAGGAGTCCCAACAACTAGGAATAAGAAATGCTCCTTCCAGGAAATAGAACTCTTGGATTCTTACAATAACTATTACTTATTATAATTTGTCCTTTTTTTTGGAGGACAGAGGACAGTTTTTTTTCCCTCGACTAGTACCAATTTAACCACACCTGTAACTCTCACTCAGCAAGTAGTTTGCTAAGGAGCTTGAATGAGTTCTGTTTCCTGAAACTAACAGTGATTAGTTACACCAAGCAAGAGAAGATATAATGTCTGGTTTTCACATTTGCAAAGAATACTATGGCTAACCCACGTCCCTCCTCATAGGCCGACTGCGCAGGCTCTCCTGGCACCCTTGGCTCTTCGCAAATGTGCTGTTCATACAACTTGCTTAGCTCGTCCCATCAAGTCCATTTGGTTCCCAAAGCACACTCAAGGTTTTGTGTTTGTTTTTGTTTTCTAAGCCCCTGAATTTGCATGTAAAGAATCACTGACTAACAGAATTTTGCACAATCACTGTTTTATTTCCCTCAATGAAGATGCCCAGGTATGAAGTGTGAGGCGGGCGCCCGCTCCCGCCTGCTGGTCCACACTGGCCCTTAGCACTCCAACCAGCTCTCCACTGCCGTTTTAGAGGGTTAACTTCACTGGGACATCTCCCTTAACTGATGAAGGCACTACTGGCAATGATTACAACAAAAAGGCGTTGAAACAGAACACCCTAAAAATCGACAACTGTAGAATTTTCTAAGTGTACCACAATTTGGCACAACAACCAGAATAACAAAACAATTCCAATTTGGAATTTCACTGGTACAGTTGTATAAAATTCTGTTAATCAGTCATGCTTCACAATGTCCTAAAATCCAGAAAACTCTGGAATTTATAGGTGCTACTACTCATTTAATAATTTATCTTTTTTCAAGTGCCTGTTACTGTTTTAACCAGAGCAAAGGTCAAGTTTTCTTCTTGTTACATTGAACTATTCCTAAGAATAATAATAATACAATATGAAAAACCCAGAATTGGAATACCCTGGATTTCTTAATGAGCATGGCATTTAAAATCTATAATTTCGAACATGAACCATGATGCCGTGAGTGTAAAGGGCTGCGGAGCTGCAGCGTGGATACACTCTGCCAAGCTCCTCGCCGGCCGAAGCCTCACCTCCAGTCTAGAGCTACATGCTATGGAGCACAGCTCTGCCTCGTGCTGACGCCAGATCAACACACTGGGCGCTAAGACGGACAGCTACAGGACCACGAGCACAGACCACGGCATCTGAGACCGTCTGCGCGACGAATTAAGGAAGCAAATATAATATCAAAATATGAAAAGTGCACAGGTTGATCGGATAAAAAAGGAGCATGTGTACTAAGGAGAGCCCCACAGCGGGCATCCCGCCGGCCCCGGTGAGCCTGGGAGCAGCTGGGAAACAGGCTCTTCGGCCAAATAGAGGCCTTTCCAAGCAGCAGCTTGAGCCATTCGCAACATTAAAGCTTTTATTTTTTTTTTCCTCCCATTAAAAACTCTGGGAAATGCTATTTTGAAACGAATTGCAGTAGCATATCCAAAATGGTTCTAAGTGGACTTTTAGGTTGCCCTTCCTTCCTCTGCATGGGCCACAGGAGGGGAGAGGGAGGGGCTGCGGTGTGACAGGGCCGGGTGACCATGTCCTCCCAGCGCTACTCTACAGCTGAAAACGGGAGAAAAGAAGACATCGTTAGAAACTGGTCACCTGTCACTTTCAGTTCACTTGACAACTAAAGCTCTCGTGCTGGGAGAACGTGGGCACGTTAGTTGGCGGAGCAGACCTGCCTGTGTTACTGAGCCAGTGGCTCCAAGTGCCCGCAAAGCCTCTTCCAGGTATAAGGGAAGCTGTGTGCTGGCCTGGCGTGGAGGGAAAAAGGCAGAAGGGGAGGAGGGGTGCACACAGGGGCATGCAGGCAACCATCCCCAGGACGGACGTGCAGGGGACACACATGGTCTGTTCTGCACCCCACTATGCATGAGTGTGGTGCCTAAAGTCTGGAGGAGACTGAGATACCCTCAGGATCAAAGAGAAGATGGGGAGGGGGCAGCTGTGGGAAGAACAGGCAAGCAGCCATCAGGGAGCAGAGGTAGCTGCAGTTCTGGATGTTCCACAGCAATTAGGGAAGCAATACTGAGAAGAGTTCTGCTTCAGATGTGAGAACTCAGATGCCTGATGCCACAGCTGTGTTGACAGAGCCTCTGAAAACAGAGGAGAGCCCTTAACTACCTTTCCTTTTTCTTTCTCCACCCCAAAACTGCACTAAAAACTGAACACATTTCCTATCAGCTAGTCCTGGGAACTGGCCCTAGGCCCATGCAAAGTTTTTCCAGCACAGGGTTGGGCTCTGCTATACTTATGGGGCCAGCAACTCAGCCAAGCCTCTCAAGCTGCAGCCTGAGACGCTCTGCGAGGAAGACCTGAACATGGTCAGCCAAGGTCACCAAGCACAAAAGGATGGGCTCTGCGTGAGGGCCAGGTCAGGCCGGGCACTTGGAACACTCTGCATGAAAAAAGGAAATCTTAGGCCGTGTAGCCTGCTGAGTTGTCATCTCATAGGTCAGCAGACCAGCAAGCAGATACTGGAAATGAGAAACCGTAGCTGCCAAGCTCTGCTCCTCGGCCCTGGTAAGCTGGTGTCTTGAGCTGTGTGGTCTCGTCTGCACTCTTTTCTGGATTTGGGGAAGAAGTTCTGCGCTTTTGTCCTGAATGTGATTTGCTGCATAAACTACAATGTAACTCTGTCTGTAAACTTTACCAATTAACCACAGAGCTGTCCTCTGAGGTTGGACCTGCAATGCAGGCCAGAACCTCATGAAACTGCTTTCAGGGGCTGACAGGAGACACATGCAAGGAACATGCAAGTTTCAACTCAGGTTCTGCCACTGAGTGGGTGCCCAGGGAGCAGGACCAGTACTCTTTCCCTAGGGTTTTCCCAGTCTGGCGCCCCTGGAAGACACTTTTAAACATCTGTCTGCCACAAGGGTGTCCAGCCCTATCCCCACTGCCAAACCCCCTCCCTCCAGCTGACAAAGGTGCTCCTGAGGGGGATGCAGAATAGGAAGTGACACAAAGCTCACAGGAGTGTTCTGGTGACAGATGTGCCCCACACCACCATTTGGCTAGAATCCTGCCCAATGTGCATTAGTCACGTTAAGACCGGCCTAGCACCACTGTCCCGCTGCTGTTGGGTTAGTTGAGGTGAAGCAGATGTTAGCTGCAGCGTGCGGCACCCCACAGCCCTAGTCACAGTAAATGCTGTGCTTCTCACTGCAGAACACCTGGTTGGCGAGCCCGGTGCCCTCGGCCCTGTCGCTGGCGCAGGTGCAGGTGTGACTTACGCTCGGGGTGGCCGGCTTGGCCTTGGGGGCGGCCTTGGTGCGGCCCCGTCGGGTCTGTTCATGGTCTAGCTCCAGGCGCTGGGTCAGCGCCAGCTTCTGCTGGATGGCCATACGCAGCAGGGAGTTAAGCGTCTTCTTCTCGTCCTCAGCAGCTGCCAGCTGCTGCTGCATCTCGTCCAGCTGTGTGATATACTCGTCACACCTGTAGGAACCAACAGCACAGCTGAAGCGCCAGGCAAGGGAGGGCAGCCCCAACACAGCCCCACCAGGTTGGTGTCCCTTGTGTGGCCCGAGTTGGGGCCATGGCTGAGGGAGGCTTGTTCTGGTTTCTTTTAGCAAAGACTTCAGGAAAGGCTTTCAGAGCCATAGGCAGCATAGCCTGTAAAGTTGGCTTGGGTTCTGTGTTGCTGTATTCCCACTGCTTAGTAAGTCTGTGCTGAGTGGCTGCCAGAGCCAGGGAGAGGTATGTGTGCATTCTGTACACAGCTCATCCTGGCACTTAAGCCTCGACCTAGTATGACACACCTGCTCCACCCAGTGCAGGTTGCCCCGGCCCATCCATCCAGCTGGAGCCTGGATGCTTAGACACTGGACAGGTCAAAGCCTGGGGTTCTGGGGATGATGGGGACCTTCCTGGCCAAGTACTGCTTCTCTGTCATCCATGGACCTGCCTTGCCCCTTTGTACCCAGCTAGCCCCTTGACAGTGCTCTCTCAGGTGCACACTAAGTCATCTTCCTCATAGATTCTTGCTCCATCTGAAAAGTCAGGTCTTTAAATAAGACAAGTTTAAAAAGCTGGGGGGACAGGGGTGTGGCTCAAGTGGTAAGAGCCCTTGCCTAGCAAGCATGAGGCCCTGAATTCAAACCCCAGTACCAAAAAAATATTGGGGTTTTCAAACCAGATGCTGAAGAGGTGCAGAATTTTTTCCCTAGAACCATCCTAATGCCACAGGAAGAGAGGAAGCTTCTAGAGAAACCATGGAGCTCTCCTTGTCTCTCCAACTATGATAGGGTCTCCCTGCAGGGGTGCTGAGAAACTCGAAGTGACTGGCTTGGTGTGAGGGAAGAAGATCCCTGCATGGCCCTTATCCTGTCCACCTGGGAGCCTCAGTTTCCTCACCCACAGCAGGCTAAGGCTAGGTTGACCAGGTTCAGTGCCACTCCAATGTCCACCAGCAGGTGGCACTGCCTACCCTTGGGAGGGTGAAAGTTAAGACCTTTGCTGTCCAGCAGGGAGTCTGATCTTCCCCAGCCTCAGAGCAGTGTAAATACACAGGTGACTCTTAGCCCATCCCAGAACCTCTCACTATAAGACCACCTGGGAGAGAGAAGAAAGCTGCTTCCCTCCCAGGCTGGAAATCCCTCCTCAGCCTTCCCTGACAAGGCAGGTTTGTAGATGGGTGGTAAGGCACAGAATTGGGACCTGCTAGCCAGGAGGGGAACTTCCTTCTGAGTTTACAAACTTAAACCCATGCATGTGCCTCATGGTCATGGGGGTTTTCACCATCGGATGGAAGTTAGTCCTCACAACTATTGGGTCTGCACATCCCCAAAGCCCACGTTACCCAGCCCTTTTGCCTATCAGCCTTATGCACAAAGCAAGCAAACTGGGACTGCCAGATTTTCATTAATAGCAAAATTAGAAATAGCCCACAGAATCAGGCTCCTGGGGCCCGAACAGGCAGCAACAGCAACAGGAATAGAAAAATGACTGCACAGGGATGGGGGCTTGAGTGGTAAAGCACCTGCATAGCAACCACAACGCCCTGAGTTGAAAGCCTAGTACCAAACACAAAAAAAGATGCACAGGCTAAGCGGCAGCCAGAGGATGGACACCCTGATGCTGCACGATCCTTGTAAGTCCTCATACTTAAGCCCATGTATGCTGGGAATGGGTTAGGAGCTGTGATTCCGGACCTAGAGCTGCATCAGCCCCCGAACTGAACCAGCAGTTCTTCTGGCCTCAGGCAAGAGGTTAAAGGGCTATGGGTGAGGGCCAAAGGTGGCCACAGGAGGAAGAGGCTACAGATGAGGAAGGGTCACAGGCGATGCAGTTACCTGGTGGCAAACATGGCATGCAGTGAGGAGAAGGTGGCTGCATCTTCCTTGAGGGCCTTGAGCTCGTTGCGCAGCTTCATCATGGTCTCTGTCACCATGGCCTTCTCATTCTCGTACTTGCTCTTCAGGTTAGCGAGGCCACCTCAGCTGTCTGGGGGACAGACAAGCATAGGATGGGTGAGTAAGGGGAATAAAGTTGTCTTAGAGATGTTTTGGGTTACAGTGGGGATCTCCGGTCTGAGGTGGTGCTAGGACCCACAAAGAACGCTGACAAGCCTGTGGACAAACTCTGGTGGCCATGTTATAGGGGTCAGCCTGTTTCAGTGAATCCCTCCTAATGACCCTGACCAGTAACACACTGCACACCACCAAACCTGCACTGGGGACCCCACAATGCCCCCATGTCAGACTCCCCAGGGCATTTAGGCAGCAGTTAAAGGGGATCTTGATCCCATGCACCCACTCTTACCTTCTGGCTGGGAGCCCTAGACGGGGCAGGAAAGGCAGGAGCCTACACCACCATGGGGCCAGCTCTTTTCTCGTGATGATATAGGACCTTGGCAGGGCCTCCCAGGATGGAGACCAAGGGTGAGAAATGCCTACCTGGCCCACTCTGGCCAGCTCACCTGCTTGTTGGCCTTGAGCACAGTGCGCAGCGTGGTGATCTGCTCCCGCTTAGTGCTGAGCAGTGACTTCAGCTTGAGGATCTCCTCCATGAGTGCCTCCTTGTCCTTGTCCACAGCAGGGCCCAGCTCCTGTGAGGTGATGAGCTGCCGGGACAGTTCTGTTGTGCGGTCCACGGCTGCCTGCAGGTGCTTGATCTGGTCGCGAATTATGGCAATCAGATTGTAGATGTTCATGGGCTCTCGGCGGGTCACTCAGGGGTGATGGCAGTGAAGAGTTGGGTGAGGGGCTGCTGTCCCCAGCTCCACCATCTGCTCGGCCCACCTCTGTGGTCAGCAGCCCCTTAGGCAGGAGGATAGGTGTGCGGCGCCCACGGCCCTCAGGGCTGGTGCGGCCGGCCCCACCCTGGCCCTCACGATAGTAGTCCAGCATCACGCGGTTGGGTGTCTCGTTATTGCACATGCACACATGGTGGTAGAGGTTGGCCAGCTCCTCGCTGAAGGTCACCAGCTCATCCTGGGCCACACTCAGGCTGCCCTGTGTCTCGCCAGCCACGTCACTCACCTTCTTCAGCTCCTTCTCCAGCCGGGCCAGGAGCTCACGGTCCTGGTGGCTGGCATTCTCTAGCAGGGAGACCTTCTCCGTAAGGGCCTGGCCCTCTGCTTGGTAGCGGCCCGTCTCCTCAGCATGCTGGGCCTCTGGAGCTTCGTGTGTGCTACGCAGGGCCTTGAGTTGCTCCCGGAGTTCACCAGCCTCAGCCACGGCCACATGGTACTTGCAGGCCAGGATCTCAGGCCCATTGATGTCCACCTCATAGTAGTCACCATCCTCATGGCTGTCCCGGTCCTTCTCGTTGTCCAGGGCTGTCTGCCTCTCTTTACCAGCCTGCAGGCGCCGCAGGGCACCCAGGTTCTCCGTGAGGTGGCTCACCTTCTCATGCTGCTCAGATAGAGCCCCCCGTGCCTGCTCCAGCTGTTTCTGTGTGTCCTGCAGTGTCGCCAGCAGGCCTACCTTCTCCCGCTCCACCTGCAAAGGTACAAGCAACATGAAAGCTCATTAGCAGTCTTAGAGGACCTCCAGCAAAATCCAGTCTGCCAGGGTGAGCTATGGGCTTGGCAGGTTCCCTGAAGGTCACCAGACAAAACAGAGTGGACAGAATTCACAGTGAACCCTCAGAATGCTGCCCATCATGAGCAATGCCACCCCTGCTGGAGGGTCACTGGGCTTACAACACAGAGCTCAGGGTCAGTAGGGCAGGGGGGCAGGGGCCTTCAGTGCCCCGGCTCTCTGCTCTGGAGCATGGGGGCTTTTGCCTCCCATGCTGTGGTGGGCACTGGAATATCTGCTAGACCCAGAGTGATGTATCTTCCAGGAGATGAGCCCATGCACGACCCTACTGTTACTCTACCTTGTGGTATGGGAGGGGAGGGTCACATGAGGGGCCAGCATTGTGTCACTTCACCTTGACATAACAGGACACGGATAAGACAGCAACATGGGTGCCATGGTACTAAATTTCACATTATCAGGAACCTACTTCTCTAGGACTCTACTCTCTACTAGAATTTCATTTATGTAATGACACAGGACTTAAAAACAATGTGAGTAAATCAACATGAGTCAAACGTCAGGAAAGCTCTGCTTACACAGTTGAGGCAGATCTTTCAGTGATGTGGAGGACCCAAGCTTGGGCCAGCACACAAGGCCCTGCCTGCTCACCTGCACCAGCTGCTGCTTCAGCTTCTGGATCTCAGAGATGTGCAGCTCACTGAGCAGGTCAGAGACAAGGCTGGGGGAGGGTGGCGCCAGGCCATCCTTCCTGGGTGTGGACGTCTTATTGTCCAATGGTGGCTTGACCAGGACACCATGCTCAAAGCCGTTGACCAGGGCCTCAGCATCATTGTTGGGCTCAGCGGCAGTGTCATCACTGAACTTTAGGCCATCCAGGGAGACCTGCAGGTGGCTGGTATAGAAGGAGTCATTGATGCTCATGTAGTGTGACAGCTCCTTGCGCAGGCTATTCTTCTGCTCCCGCTCTGTCTTCAGCGTCTCCAGTGCCTCCTCCAGCTGCCGCTCAGAGATCTCCTTGAGCCAGATGGCATCCTCCAGCTGGCTGTTGAGGTACTCAGTCTCTTCCTCCAGACGCTTGATCTCATGCTTGAGGCCCTCAAACTCCACCTGGGAAGGAGAGGTCAAATACTCCATGTCAAGGCAATGTGGAGGCTCCGGTTAGGTCTGATAAATTAGGAGACTGCACCAGGGTGCCACTTCCCCAGCCACCAAGAGCAAGGAGACGCACAAGGTGAAGCACTATCCTTCGGAAGAGGCAGTGGCCAAGGCTATTTCCCCCACTGAGGGAAGCGGATGCTATGAGGGTTTCAGGGCATGAGATGCAAGCGCGCAGAAATGCCCAGTCCAGTGCCAGGACCAGTGAGCCTGTGAGGGGCATGCAACACAAAACACCTGAGACACAGAGCCTACAATACTGCAGCCCTGTGAATATACCTATACCACCAAATTTCTCTTAGGTTTCTTTAAAATATTACCACGTGTGCTGATTTGAAATTCTATAAAATTATTCAATTAATAATAGTTAACCAAATACCGTAAGGCACATAAATATAAATGTCAATGTATGCTATGAGGATTAACTCAAATCACTTTTTGAAAAAAAAGGAACTGGGGCTGGTGGAGTGGTTCAAGTGGTACAGCACCTGCCTAGCAAGGATGAGGTCCTGAATTCAAACCCCAGGACCATCAAATAAATTTTAAAAAGGAACTGAAATTTCTCCCAAGGTATAATACCTCGGCACTAAAACCTCAGAATGCACTCTGAGGAGCTGGAAGGTAACAGAGAAAACACAATTAGTCTTGCCAACTTCACATTATATTTGCAGGTAGACAAAGAGCAGATGGTTTAATGTGAAGGGTTAGGGATTGTGGGCAATTTTTAAAAACACATCTTACCATTCTGTAACATTTGGATAAAAAAATTAATAAAATGAAGAACTGAAGGAATCTCTATGGATTTGGGGTAGGAAGGGACACTTGGTACCGTGTCCTAGGTATGTTCATGGGAGGTGGGCATTGAGCCAACACCAGTGCCACAAACCAGGAGACAAGGAATCCCAGGCGGGAGTTGTGACTCCACCAAGGGCAGGGTTCCCCAAGCCTTCGCTTTTCTCCTCAGGACTCTGTGGCCAGGCTCTATGGGCAGTAATGCCAATGACCAATGGTACCTCAGGCTTATTAGCTGTTATGTAAATAAACGTGAGCTATCTGTCACTGCAGGACTGGGGCTGTGAGTGCTCTTCCTATGGGTTCCTGGGAAGCAGAATCTGCTCCCTGCTTGCTTTTGCAAACACAGAGATTTCTACATAAACACAAGAGCTTCCTCATGCAGGATATAAATACTGGGCTCACTGATGTGACTTTTTTGCCCTAAGAAGATCTGGATGGTAGAGGGTTTCTGAGGAAACCAAGAACAGCATGCATGGCATTCTGGGGAAAGGTTTGGGATTTCCTGGGAGAAAAGGTTTCCGGCAGCACTGTGGCTCCTGGAGAGCTGGGAAGGACATTCAGGCCTTGTATGGTCCCTAGAGTCCACGTTTGCCTTGTCCCATCAAGGGGACCCTCCACATCCCTGCTATGAGGCAGAGGCATGACAACATTTCAGGATTCATGGTCAGCACCTGAGAGGAGTCAGACACTGGAGATGTAGCCTCTGGTGGTTTTTGGTGTAACCTCTTCATCACCTCTTGGATTATTTTTTCCCCCATACCTTTGCTTGGCCAACAGTCAGCAAATACTGCAACTACAGGCCTTGTTTTGTGGCCTTGGAGTGTCTAGGTCCCTTGCCTCCACTGTGGTGGTGCTGGCCCTAGTTCTCAGGTGTGTGAAATCAGACAGGAAACTGAAGATGGGGTAGAGGAGAGGACTGAGAGGCCCAGAGCTGACCTGTGCTCCCACCCACACCCTGCAGCTGAAGACTTGCCTGGTTCTGTCTGAGCACGGACACCTGCTTCTGCAGGCTGATGTTCTCCTCCTCCAGCTCCGAGTAGTCCTGCAGCAGGCGGGCCTCTCGGAACTTGTACTCCTTGATGTCATCCCGCAGGCGGCCACGCTGGATCTCCACATTCTGGTTGATCTATCAGGGCAAAGAGAAAAGCAGTGTGAGCAGCCCCACTACCTCTACCTCCAAGTGATACCAGGGGAGCTCAGAGTGGCCAGTCATGCTGTGATATGCCACACAGCCAGGATTTTGGACCCAGACTTGGGCACCAGTGTGACTGCCCAGAGAGGAGTGGAGCTTACAGCAGTGTGATCTGAAGAAAGCAGCATTCAGCCCAGAGTTGGATCCCTTTAGCCCCTCTCAGCTATGGACCCACTGGCAGGTAACTGAGCCTGTTCTGACCCTCAGTTTCTCCATCTGTAAGACCAGGTTATGATACTGATGGACTGGTAAATGGGGCAATACTGTGGCACAAAGTTTGCAGGTGCTCAAACAGTTAAACAGAGTATCTAGCCCAGAGAAATAAAACAAATCCACACAGAATCCTGCACACCAATGTTCCGATACGGCCAAAAGGCGGGAGGAATGCAAGTGTCCATACATAGGTGAATGAATAAACAAAATGTGGTCTACATACACAATGCGTTATTCAGCTATAATAAGGAATGACATCTACTACTTGCTACGACATGAGTGAAACTTGAAGACATTCTGCTGAGTGAAAGAAGCCAGTCACGGGAGGTTATGCCTTGTATAATTCCATTTACACAAAAGTCTAGAACAGGCAAATTCATATAGACAGAAAATGGGTTTGTGAGGCTAGAGTAGGGGGATGGAAGTGACTGAACAGGGTTTCTTTCTGGAGTGATGAAATGTTCTAAAATTGACTGTGAAAAGCCAGGCACCAATCACTTATTCCTGTAATCCTAGCTACTTGGGAGGCTGAGATCAAAAGGATTGCAGTTCAAGGCCAGCACAGGGAAATACTTCACGAGACCCCCATCTCCAAGATAACCAGAGCAAAATGGACTGGAGGTGTGGTTCAAGCAGTAGAGTGTGCGCTTTTCAAGTGTGAAAGCCTGAGTTCAAACCACAGTCCCGCCAAATATAAAAATAAAAATTGACTCTGAAGGCTCGAGACGTAGCTTAATGGTAGAGAGCTTGCCTAGCATATGTGAGGCCCTGGGTTCCATCCCCAGTACCACAAAAAGAAAAATAGGAAAAAAATGACTAGGATGGTGCACTTATTTGTGAATATGCTATATAAAACCCATAAATCACACACTTTTCAATGGGTGAGTTGTATGGAATATGAATTACCTCAACAAAGCTGTTAAAAGCTGGTTCCTGCCTCCAACTCATCTGTGAGGAGTCAGAAATGATCACACAGAGAGGCTAGTGCAGGTCTGGTGCAATCCAGACTGGAATTCTAACCATGCCGTTGCCTAACAGTATGACCTTGGAGCTTAAGTCTCAGCTCTCAAGACATTCAGAGCCAGATCACATTCTCTGTGGCAGGGGCTGTCCTGTACCTCACAGGCTGCTTAGCAGCTACCTGACCTCTGTTCACCAGGTGCTGCCCCTTGCATTGAGGCAAGTGAAGATGTCTCCAGACACTGCCAATGTACCATGGAGGCAAAATTATCCTTAGCCAACTTCCCCTAACCCATCCCTTCCCTACTTCCTGTCCTGTTTCCAATGCCAAGATGGCTTCCCCAGACCAACACCCCTGCTTCCTGCTTCGAAGCTCTCAGTCAAAGTCCCATCCATCCCCTGGGCCCACAGCTCTGTGCTCACTTGCACTGCCCCATCAGCTTATGCAGGGATTGTTCCCAATCACATTCGTGTGTTTATCTGATAGTCGCATCCTTATAGGCAAGACTCCAAAGTGACATGCAGGGACACACAAAACAGTAATATTTGATAAGTAAAATGAAATATGACCGAGTGGGAAAAAGGAAGCAATGGAAAGGGGAGTCACATAACGCACAACTACAACGTACTACTGACAAATGCTTGGCACCTGAAACTAATATAGTATTTAAAATCTATGGCAAACAGACACAGCCCTTGTGTTAAGTAACTCAAAGAGATGACAGAGTTGACACCAGAAGACACAGACACCACAGAGGCAGAAGACCACTAGGTAGCAAGCCTCACCTGGTAGGAAAGGGAATGAGGTAGGTACTGGGATGAAGGAAGCAATGGAAAGGGGAGTCACATAACGCACAACTTCAACGTACTACTGACAAATGATGACAGAGTTGACACCAGAAGACACAGACACCACAGAGGCAGAAGACCACTAGGTAGCAAGCCTCACCTGGTAGGAAAGGGAATGAGGTAGGTACTGGACTGAAGGCCCTGGCTTGACAGCCTGAGGTGTCATGCAAGCCAGAGTACACCCAGGCTCTCAACACACCACCTGAGGGAGCGCTCAGACAACCTCTCTGTCAATTCCTGCCTTCTCTTTGAAAACTCAAAAGTGCCTGCACACAGTAGGTGCGCACACATATGCAGCATGACTTCATGTAGCACTGGCTCGCTCTTCAGGTGATCTAGAAGCTGAGAGCAAGATCTGAGTCCCACCAGCTCCCCAGGTATGCGGGACAAGAATAACAGCCCTAGTAGGCCCTCCAGGCAAAATGCTGAAAAGCTGGGTGCTGGTGGCTCATGCCTGTATCCTAGCTACTTAGGAGGGATATCAGAGGATCACAGTTTGAAGCCAGTCCTAGGCGAATAGTTCTTGAGACATTACCTTAAAAAAACCCATCACAAAAAAGGGCCAGTGGAATGGCTCAAATTTTAAGAGTGCTTGCCTAGCAAGCGTGAGGCCCTGAGTTCAAACCCCAATACCACCGAGAGAGAGAGAGAGAGAGAGAGAGAGAGAGAGAGAGAGAGAGAGAGAGAGAGAAGTGCTCAAAGCTTCCATGTGGCTGGAGCAGAGACAGCAATTTGTCCAACTAAAGATGAGGTAGATGGCAGCGTTAAACACCTGCTAGCACAAGGACCCACAGAGGCACACAGGGAGTGTTGTTCTCCCAAAGCAGTGCCCATGCATCTGAGTGAGTTCTTAGTTCTGTCGTAGTACCATGTCCAGGTCCAGAATCCAGTGGGTCAGCCACAACAGAGCCTCTGTGAGTAAAAGTATTTGAGCCCATGCAGGCCTTTGGGTGGGTGTCCTTGTAGTAACAAAAGAACAGAGAAGGACACATAAGTCACAGACTGGTCCAGTAACACCACGCAGCAGGTGAGGGTGCTGCCTCTGCTGACACTGCAAGACCTAAACACGTGCACTTCTGTTCCATCCCCAACTATCAGGTGTTGGCAGGCCTGCTGCCTGCTACCTCCACCTAGCACACACCCAACTGTTGAGAGCTCACGCAGGCTCTGATTGGTCACTGGGGGTTTAGTTTTCCCTCGGGGAAGCACCTTCTCACACATGAGCCTGTCTGAGGTCAGCCCAACAGTGCAGGGACAAGCCCTGCCTGTGTAGACTAGCAGCCCAGAAGGGAAGAGGTAGGTCAATAGGCCTATCTTAGCTCCCCCTTCCCCAGGAACTCCTGACCTCAGGTTGTAATCAGCAGGAAGAGTGTGACAACTGCCAGCCTCAAAGGCTGGGGGGTCAGCAGCCCCCTTTGCTGCACCCCCACCCGAGAGCCCCCAACTCCATCCATCCAAGACACTTGTCTCTGCTGAGGGCCTAGCAGAGCCCACCCTCCCTTGCTGGGACCAGTGGGACCTCAGCATGTATACAGAGTCTTGCTCTTGCCACCTGCTTCAGACTCTCTGGGCCTCTGGTTCTTCTTCTGGGAAATGGGACCACATCCCCTACCTAGCCATTCCTCAAATGCTCAGTTACCTATTAGGGTCAACCTCCTCCCCGAGAAAGAATGCTAGCAGGACAAAAGCTGGCTGAGCTGTCTACTGTGGGTCCTCCACACCACAGAGGGCAGAGGGCAGAGCCTCAGGGCTGCTACCCCTCCCCAGCCTGTTTCCTCATGTATAACAGAACACAAGGAGCGTCACCAGGATAACTTGTCTGAGGCAGTCAGAACTATCTACATAGGCTAAGTATGTTTGGTACCTACCATAAAGCTTCATGGGTCCTAACAGTGTGTTGGGTGTGGAGGGGACCAGACACTTAAACCAGTAGTCATGGGTGAGGAAAAATGGGAAGGGATGTCAGGGACAGGGTTAGTAGGTCAAAGGACACAATACATCACTAAATGCTCACAGCCAGCAAGACCAGTCCAACCCATGGGCATACAAGCCTAGGGCAGGGAGGAGGACAGCCATGCCAGTGGGAGTTCAACACAACAGCTCAGACCAGGAAGCAGCAGCAATGGAGACAGGAGCTGGGTGTGGCTGGGACAAGTGATGAGGGAGACCAGAGCCACCACCTCAGAGCTGGGAGGGTTCCTAAAGCTCTGCAGCAAGGGAGGATGGGCAGGCAAGGGGAGGAAGCCCCACAGGTCTAGAGACCAAGGCAGGGACTCTCTGGAGAGAAAACAGGACTGAGGAGCATGTAGGGAGACTCAGGATTTCCTTTTGAAGCACAAACAGGAACAGTAGGAATCTCCCCCCACCCTAGACCTGCTTGTCCTTAACTCACTGAGCTCATTTCCGGCCCAATGGGGTCATCTAGTTCTCTCACTGCCCAGGAAAAGGGCTGAATGTGGGAGACAGCCCTGCAATGGCCTTTCAGGAAGAAAGGCCAGGTAGATGGATGGCAGAAGGGGCAGGTAGGGATCCGTCTCCCCCAAGTGACATCCCTTCCTCCACCCTCACCAGAGCCATCCTCGTGGGAGGAAATGGGATCATCCACTATGGCCTTCAGCATCTGAGTGCTGCCCTCCAGGTCTGGCCAAATTCCTCCACAGGTCTCTGGAGCCCTTAGGCCAGTGGAAGTAGCAGTTCCCTGCTACTGCTAACCCCCGGAGCAGTGTCCCCAAATCCTGGCATACTGGGCCAATAGCTGCTGTACACCCTGCCTGTAGGGCCCTGACTGCTGTACACTCTCAGGAGCTATGCCCTGCTGAACTCTCAGTAGAACATCTACCACAGAGAGTGGGGCTTCTGCAGCTGGAACAGGAGTCCAGAGGTGCTTGGGGTAAAGGCACAAAGGGTGTCCCCTAACAATGGGCCTCCAAGACTATGGGTTTACAGACAGAGAAAGTGAGGATGGAACTGAAGCCCAGGCCTCTAGTACAGTAAGGGGTACAGCATCCCTCCATGAGGGTGACCCCGAAAGGCCATGACCACGAGGTCCACAGCCAAGACTCACATGGGTACATCCGGGTCTGCCTGCTGTCTCTGGTATCTGACCCACCCTTGCGTTGGTGATGAGGCTCCACCCTTCCTCAGAGGGCACTGCTCTCTCTTGCACCACCTGCACTTGGCCAGACTTTTCTCTGGATCTTGGCCCTATCTTTGTCTCTATGGCCACCAAACCACAAGTTGTACCATGCCTTGTTCAGGGTCCCAACCAAGGCCCACAGAACTCTCCCTTTACATGCCTCCTTGCTCCTGGTAAGTCCCTACCAGCCAGGCATAGCTAAGCCCTAAGTGAAACAAAACATCTCCCAGGCAAGGAGTCACCCAGTGATAGCAACGTCCTGTAGGCTGACTTTGGGCCTGCTCAAGGGCCCTGCATCACTAACAGGGGCAGGCCAGACACTGCAGCACTAGTGCATTTGCCTATTAGCTGCAGAGACTAGAGGAGCAAGACAAAGGCAGAATGAAGCCACAGAAGCCAGCACAGCCCAACTGCTCCCTTAGGTACATATGCCATGCAGTACATTGTCACAGAAACAGACATCACCCCCACCCTGCTCACCTCCTTCAGCTCCTGGGCCACGGATGTGAGGCGCTCATTCTCAGACTGTGTGTTGGTAAGGACATTGCGCAGCTGCTTCAGCTCTGTCTGTAGCTCCAGCACCTTCCGCACGTAGTACTGCTCCTTGGATGCTGACTCCTGGATTAGGCTCTCCTCCCGGCTCTCACCATCCGCGGCCACCTTCTTGTGGTTTGTGTGAGCCTGTCCAAACGCCTGCACCAGAACATAATATATTCATGAGATGGGTATTCTGGGACCATGGAGCAATGGAGACCCAAGACAACAAGCAACTGGAGGTGGGGAAGGGGCCCTCAATCTAGAGGGTGGGTCTGTGGCATGCATGTGTATAAATATGCATTGAGCTACATGTGAGGTGAGCATGCTTCCCTGGGAACTCTTAGGAGCTCAGGATGGAACATGGAGGACAAAGCACCATTCCTCAAGCTAGGGCCTGGCAGGGAAGCTCCTGAGGACCAGCAAGGGTCAAGCCATTGGGAGCCTAGCTGAGCCAATAAGGAACAACCCTAGAGCTGCCCACATAGCCCCAAATTCCTCCCCACTCTGGATGGGAAAATCAAGCTCAAGGAAGTGTGCCATGCAGGGTGAGGGAGTCTCCCCATCCAGCTGCTTGATGCCAATCCAGCCTTCCTTTGCTCTGGGAGAAACCTGGGCCAGTCAGTCAGGCCGCAGGGCCGGTGGCATGGTCAGGACCAGCCAGAGAGGCCAGCCCGGTGTGCACAGGCCAGAGGCACACACACCAGCATTTGGAGGGGGAGGTGTTGGGGGCAAGCAACAAGGTGGGCACAGGACCCTGGGGCTTAGGGAGAAGACCCTATGAGTAAAATTGGCCAGCAAGGGGAGTTGAATGACTACCTACACCTCAGGGTCAGCAGTTGTACTGCATCCACAGCCTAGGACCTTGGCTGGCCTGGCCTCCCATTCTGCTACTGAAGGGCAAGAAAATGAATGGATGCTTTAAGTGAGAAAAAAAGAGCATTTTCATTCATTTACTACTTAGAGTCTAGGAATTCAGTCCAAAAAAACAACTGGGAAAATGTACAAAGTCACATTGTATAAGGATGTTAATTAGCTGGACAGTTAGTTTCAAATATCAACAAATTAAAACATAGAGAACAACTCATTTCTCTTGTGACAGGGAAGCAGTAAAATGAAGCAGGTCTGGTCTGAGACAAGGGAAGCCAGGCCTACCTCATGGCACTGTGAGGAGGCCCTGGAAGTGGCTAACAGAACAATACAGTTTAGCAGGACAACCAGGGCTGGCATTGGGACTGTGTGTGAGGATCTGAACACTCCTGGACATAGATTGTGAATGTCCAAGTCACCCATGCTCCCTCCCAAGGGGCTGCATTTACTCATCTGTCCCTGGCCCTCTGAAACAGCATCCACTCTGTGTTTCAAATCAAAGCAGCTCAGCTTTGTGATTCCTGTTTTGTTCTCCTTCATCCTGGCCCCAGGGAAGGACCAGAATGCATCTCTATAGCACCTAACCCAGACTGTCTGCCCACCATGGAACACACAAAGGGAAGACAGGCATGGAGCTAGCCCCAACCCAGAGTTCCTGGCCTGAGTGGCAGCCTGAGCCCCAAGTCCCCATCACTCATTAGGTGAAGGAGAGGAGGTTGTGGGCTGTAGGCCAACACGGGGCAGGTCCCCTGGTGCACAGGGAGGACTGACTGAAGAGTCTAGCACCTGCAGCTGCTTAGGGCATGTCCATGAACTTGAAGCTGGGGACACAGACACCTCCACAGAAGCCTTCTCAAGGTACAGAGGCTAAGCACAGCAACACACTGCTTGAGCCCAGGCTCTCTGACCTAGGCCCTGAATGTCCTCCACCCAAGCTCCCAACCTTTTCAAACATACTGTGACAAAGACGTCACCTCCAGCTGGAAAGTGATAGTCATGGAAGTGAATCTATCTCCTATGTGAAAATTAAAAAACTGGAAAATGATAGGAACAAATGTATGAATAATAGCAGTTTTTAAGTCACTGCACCAGGTAATGAAGAGACTGGCCAAGAGGAGCCCCACAACAGTTCTCACCCCTCCAGAAGGAACTTCCCCAGGCTGGGTACAGCACAGAAAAGGGGACTGAGGCAGGTGGAAAGCTTGAGGAGGAGGAACTGGAAGATAGTGGGCAGGGCAGTGAGGAAGGCAGAGCTGTGGATGGGGACAAGTCTTCACTAAGGATGGATGGTTAATGCAGGGTGGAGGAAGGAAGCCACAGAAGAGAGCACACAGAGGGGCACAGGAAATAATCTTTACTAGCCAGAGGGGGCCCTCCTGATTCATGAGCAGGGGGCAGGGGGAGCACTCTTAGAATGAAAAATCACCCTGGATTACACACTGCTCTAGTACAGCAGAGCAAAATGTAAAGAGAAACCATGAAAGGATTAATCCATTTCCAAGTCACCACATCCCAGGCAAAGCTCCAGAACACAAACGGGAAAACAAAAACATCACCTGCCAATAGGTGAAATCCCAATGAACTGCCCCAAAATATTAATGGACAGTACTCGACCTGATGTGGCTACAAAAGGGGAAGCTGGACTGAGAAGTACCAGGACTGAATCCCACAAGTCAGGAGCAGCGGAGAGACTGAACGTACTAAAATGTCAAAGATCCAACCGGAACATCTAGAGATGAAAAGTAGGGATTAACAGGTGAGTCAACTCTGAAACACAGCAAACTGTCCCAAGTGCAAATGCGCACGCACACACACACACACACACACACACACACACACACACACACACATAAACCCAGCTAAAACAAAACGCAATAAACCAGAAAGCACAGCAGTGAAGTATATGGGACAATTTCAAAGAGTGTAATCTTTGGGTAACTGGAGTCCCTACAAGAGAGGAAGAGGGAAGGACAGAAAAAAAAAATTTGAAGACAAAATGACTGAAAAATTTCCAAATTCGATGAAAATTATAAAGCCACAAAGAGTAGCAGCTTGTTAATTATAAGTACAAGAAATACTAAGACAACTATATCTATACCAAGGCATAATGAAATTATTTAAAGTGAGTAATGCAACAAAACTACGAAAATCATTTTGTAAATTTCACAATGTACCCCCCCAGTACAACAATAATAAAAATTTAAATAATAATAATAATAAAAACCTACGAAAATCAGCCAGAGAGAAAGGACACATGACTGACAGTGGAGCAAAGATAAGGATGACAGCAAATTTCTCTAACAAGCCAGAAGAGAGTGGAGCAAAATCTTTAAGACAAAACAACTGCCAATTAGAACATCATACCCAGAGAAAATGGTTTACACATAAGTTAAGGAAAGACTGCAGACATATAAAAGCTGTATACTTGTATCACAAGGTATATTAAATAAAATCCCTCACAAAGAAGAAAAACAGAATTATATGGAAATCTAAGCCTTAAAGGAAGAACTAAGAGTTCCAGAAAAGGTTAACTATGTGGGTGAACATTGAAGACTTATTCTTCTTAAGTCTGTTTAAAAAGGCAAATAACTTGATATTTAATGTAATCCGTTATCAAAATTTCAAAGGCCTTTTTTGTAGAAATAGAAACGCCAACTTCCAAATTCACATGGAACTGCAAAAGTCCTAGAATACTTAAAAGAACACTAAAAATGAATAATAAAGTAGGAGGCTCATAATTTCCAATTTCAAAACATAACACAATACTGTAAGTGATCAAAACAGTGTGGTACTGGCGTAAGGATAGACATAGCGACCAACAGAACAGAATAGAGTCCCCCCAGCAAACCTGAATATATGATCAATTGATTTTTGATAAGGACACAAAATAATTCAGTGGTAAAGTATCGTTTTTAACAAGTAATGCTAGGACAAATGAATATCCACATTAACAGAAAGATCTTTAAAAGATCACCAAATATTTGGCAATTAAATAATACACTTCTAAGTAACCCATCTGTCAAGTGAAAGTATTTTAACTGAATGAAAATGAAATGCACATGAGAATTTGTGGCACCTCAAAAAAGCAAATACTTAGGATACTTATAGCACTAAATGCCTACTTTGAAAAAAAATGAACAGTCCAATCAATAACCTCAGTTTCCATCTTCAAAAACTAGTCCAGATACCACCAGACAGGTCAGTGTCAATGAGTGTGGTGAGAACAGCCCCAGCAGCGCTGTCTTCTGCCACTGCAGCATGTGTGCTTTACCTGTTCTTTCCGTTACTCAACAAACAACTTCAACAGTGCACAAGGACACAGCCCATCACTCCTTGCCTAAAACCCAGGACCCCTCCTCCTCTGGTGTATAAGAATAACATGCATAAAAAGGGTACAGGAAAAGGAATTATTTATAGTATTATTACTGACAAAGCCCAAACCAGAAAATTCCCAAGAATCTGCCAAAAGAAGAAGCATCACTATCAATAAATTGTGATATATTGTCAGGCACCAGTGGCTCACACCTGTAATCCGCGCTATTCATGAGGCAGAGATCAGGAGGATCAAGGTTTGAAGCCAGCCTAGGCATATAGTTTGTAAGACCCTATCTTAAAAAAAAAAAAAAAAAAAACATGAAAAAGGGATGGTGAGTGGCTCAAGCATAGAGTGCCTGTGTAGTAAGCGCAAAGCCCTGAGTTCGAACTCAAGTAATGCCAAAAAAATAAAAAGGTTGTTCAAAAACAAAACAAACAAGAAACCAAGAAAAGAACTTTGATCCATGCCTCCCTCTGTACATGAAAATCAACTCAAAATGGATCACTGTCTAAAATATTGTAAGTAAAAAACTAGAGGAAAACACAAGAGAAAAAGTTTGTGACCTTGGATATAATCTATAAATTGGTAAACTGGCCCTTAAAACTAAGAACTGAAGCTATTTAAAGACATGTTCAGCTAGGTGCTGGTGTCTCATGCCTGTAATCCTAGCTATTTGGGAGGCTGAGATTGGGAGGATTGCAGGTCAAGGCCAGCCCAGGCAAATAGTTTGAGAGACCCAGCAAAATGAACTAGAGGTACGGCTCAAGCAGTAGAGTGCCTGCTTTCAAAGTGTGAAAAATGTAAAGCCCTGAGTTCAAACCCTAGTCCTACCAAAAAAAAAAAAAAAGACATGTTAAGACATGAAAAGGCAAGTAGTCATAGACTGCGAAACTCTGCAAACATGATGAAGGACTTGTATACAGAATATAAAGAACTCTCAACATTCAATAATAAGAAAAACAACTCCATAAAA